ATCAGTTGCAGACACCAACTTTAGAGGCATGGTTAGATTTGAATGTTAAATCTGGACATCCATTTTTTGGTAACTTTGTGATTATAATTTGAAACTATTGACTATTTTTTGGTAGGCTTGTAAAGCAGTTAAAAGTACACGTAATATATAGTTTTGGAAGTTGCATGGCCTTTTAATAAAGCTCTTGCCAAGTTTTTCTTCATATAAACCATTTTTCAATGAAAGATCTGCATGTTTTAGCCAATAATATTTGTTTTGATTTTTTTCTGGGTTATGTAACTTTAGAAATTTTGGAGCTATTTTTATAAATTTAAATTAAAAAGATAGCCAGATACTCAGAGTTTTATTTAGTAATTTTAAAGTACAAGTCTACATGTAAAATATTATGCTATTTCTGCAGTGGTTCCAGATTATGGACACTAATTGATTTTATTATGATGCTTATCCCGGAATTTTACTATGTAGATCCTTTCCTTCATTGATGGATTACAAATTAAGTTTCTCAACATAGGATTTTGTGGCTGAAGGAACAAAACTTGACATGTAATAGAGCGACCCCACTGAAAGCACCGCAAGATACCAGAGGAAGACATTTCTGTTAGTTGTATCAAGTAAAGAATTTGATGCTAAAAGAAGACTTCCAAAAATTTATTTAATTATTGACCATAATTACATCACAGTGCATTTTGTTGTCAATAGTGCAGTGTAACAGAAAATTTTGCTTGTGTAACATAGATTATCAATCTGTATAATTGATCATGCAACAAATCTGACAAAAAAAATAAAATTTGATTAATTACTATTACTTCATACATTTTGAGAGGAATTCTTGGAATAAAATACACCTGCATTATTCATTCTTTAGAGGGAGGTGTGGAAGGAAAATGTTTAAAATGTCAGTATTGAATTTCCCTTTTTTCACCCATCTCCGATTCAATTTTTTATAATTAATTTCTCCCTATAATGAACAAAAGCAGAAAAATGCATATAATGGACAGAGGGTTCGGTATAGAGAGAGAGCTTTGTATTATTACCAATTTTGCCACTGCGGATTTCTTGTCATAATAATAATAATAATAATAATAACAGATTTTTTTGGCTGGAACCATGAATCTGCTGTGGTGAGGTTTGACTGTAATCATTTAGCATCTATTAAGTGTATAATAATAAAATTCAACAGGCATGTGATTATTTTGTAAGTAAAGAACAATCGAATTTACCAGTTAAAAAATTACACATGACTAAATTAACCAGTTAACCAGTTAACTCTTAATTTTAATGGTTAATTAACAGTTAAAGAATTTTGCACAGTGCCAACCTCTAGTGAAGACTACAATCTTATATTTGATTATTAATCATTTTATACATCATACTATACATGAAGTTAATGGTTGAATTATGTCATATCACATGAGAACCAGTGATCCAACTTTAATGAACACGGCTTATTAGAATAGTATCATAAAGGTGATTCAAATAATGGTATTTTAATATTCATAGCATAATAAAAATAACTCACTAATCAGTGATAAATTTTTCTAAAGAAGAATTATTAGTTTGCATGTATTGTATCCACTGTGGAATCCTAAAATAAATAAATAAAAATATTAACAAAATATTATATATTTATTTGCTTATTATTATATTAATTAAAAAAACTAGTCATTTCAAAGATATGTAGTATAAATATTAATAAGTTAAAATTAGGCATTGTGACTTTAAGTAATAAATATTATTGCATTTAACACAGATATTTATATGTTTATGGAAGTTAAAATAGGTCTTCATGACTTTAACAGTCATTTGCAAATTTTAACTAGGGAATTCGCTAACTTTATTAGAAATTTGCCAGGAATTTGAACTTTGTTAATAATATAAGTCTTTATTTTTTAATACTAACTTTTAGTTTTTTTACATACCGTTAAAACTATAGTTCTTAGCAATACATTCTATATGATTTTATAAAGGAATAATAAAAGATATGTCACATTGTATTTAAATATGTCACGGGAATTTTTTATGGACAATTTTCATATTCGATTTTGTAATACAGTCTTGCCTTGTTTCAACGAAGTGGCTGGACATATAAGAAAATTTTATTCAACATTCGTTAAAACAAGGTTACTAATCGCATTTCAATGAATTTTTATGTTTTCATAATGTGTAACAACGTTTTTAAAAATTCGTTGTATCAAAAATTTAATTATATTTTGTTGAAACAAGGGTTTACTGTATGAAGATCCTCTACCAACAGGAGAGACCGTTCTGGCAGTGTTGTGCAATTGGAACATTGTAACACTATTGGAATGTTCCAATGTAGACCTTCAATTGATATTGACCAATAA